CTGATGGCCAACCATGCTGATGATGGTGACTGGCTGTTAAACGATGTTGTCATTAGGAATGATTACGGTTTATCGATGAAGATATTCATAGACATCATTAAACTGCATGAATAAACATCATCATATTGAAATGTGTTACAGTGTGCAATAAGTTATGGGGTTGAGGCTTGTTGGTTTATAGTGCTGACTTTCAACTACCAGGTGGTGAATTCGAACACTCCCCCTACACCCCGACGTTTGAGCAGCGTCGATCAGCAGTATTATTAGCCCTCACACAATAGGTGCTGCTCACTGCCACCTCCTGCATACATTTACAGAACAATACTGAATAGACTTAAATTTCCTGTGATCAGGTCGCTTAAATTCTCATGAAAGAACCCCAAGTCCCTGAAATCTTTCACAACAAATCGTATTGCTCGAAAGTTTCTAGAAAATCCACGTCAATCTACGTACTAATTTCAGATTGGTTCCCTGAGCTCAGCTCGGCTCAGGAAACACAATATAACTAAGACCATCCACCTGAGCTACAAATATTCTGCACTATTTATACATCTCTTCGTTTTTTTTCTACATATTTTGACGGTGTAACACTTGAGATGATGGGGAATATTCGCAGCTCAGGTGGAAGATTCTGGTGTTGTTGTTTTCCCTGAAATGGATGGTTTATTCATGAAGCTTTCACTGTCACTGTAGACAATATCATCAGGAAAAACTTCAGAAAGAAGTCAGCTGTAAGGTTTTCTCCATAAGTAGTTTAGTACCTTATCCTGATGACCTTAGGTGTGATTGTTTGTTCCTGCCAGGGTCTTGTCATTGTCTCCATTATTATCTCCATTCGTTGTCCTGCTGACGTCAGCTTTGATCTCCTTGTCTTTTCTTATTGGTTGGTAGATTGGGTCAGTGTTAATATGTCTGTCTGTTGACCGCTGACTAATCAGAATACCGAATTTCGAAAAATTCTCTGGTGTTCTTTGTACTTAATCTATCCATCCAGGATTTCCATACCTTCACAGTCAAACTCATGTCCACAATTGTCGTTGTTTACTGAAGTGAGTGAAGATATGTCATGAAGCTTAACTGCTAGTTAATATTCATGCGAACGGATATGAAGAGGGCCAGTGACCCCTCTGTCCAAACTAGTATTTACCTTAGTTTCTGTAGTGTATTTTGTAGACAATGTTTGGTTTATCTTTTTTCGGCATTGCATCAAAGAGTGAAGAGATTTTGTGGGTTTGTGAGCTATGGGGATTCTAAAAGGTCTTAATGATTTAGTCGTGATCTTCGAGATGTTCTTCATATAGGGCAAGGCAGTCCGTTTGTTGGTTTTCGAGGATGACATTCTGGTTGTTGACGAACTATGCAACCATCTTTAGATTAAGTTGCATGGAAAGCTCTTCTTCTAGAAAACTGTAATCAGATAGTTTTCTGCTTTTCTGTTCAATATTGCTCTTCTACACTACAAAGTTTCAAAAGTGATTTTGTGTGCTCTAAGATTGTTCCTATTGCAGTTGAGGACTTGATCCATATGATCTGATCTCCATCTTCAGTATCAAGTGAGTGTAGGCATCAGCTGTTGATGATATCTGTCTGCAGTTTGTTGGAAATGCTTTTCGTAACGCGACAACTCTGACAACCATCACATGGAAGCACTGACTGACTTGAGTGAATTCATGTTGAAAGTCTGGATGTTGTTCACGCTTTATGCTGAGTGTAGTGCAGTGCAGTAGATCTTCACGCTGGCTGATTTCAGATTAATTAAGGCCTTTCTTGTTGTCTTTCGGATCCTGGCTACTTTCGCATCCTAATCTGTGCAGCTGCCTATATCTGAGGGATGCTGCCTCGGTAGGGTGGTAGGTAGGTAGGTGTGTAGGTAGGTAGGTGTGTAGGTAGGTAGGTAGGTGTGTAGGTAGGTAGGTAGATGAAAGAGATAAATTCCTTCACATTCCTCCTGTTGATGGTGATTGGCGCTTCTTGTTGTTGTTGCTTGCGGTGGTGGTGGCGGTGGTAGGGTATCTTCATCAACTCTGTCTCCTCTACGTTCACCTTAATGAAGTTCCATCTTGCTTCACTGGCTCTTCTCCTAACTTGTTAGTTTTAGCCTTTAGATCTTCCAGCTTTTGCGACATAGGACATTAGACATGAATAACTATCGGCAAAATACAAATTTTCATCTGGAGTCTTTTAATTGGTCCAGCCAGTGTATACCCCTCCTCTTACTCCTCACAGTTTATTGCATAATCCAGTCAAGCCGAGTTGAGTTGACGACAATCAGGAAGATGATCGGTGATAGTAGGCGACATCCTTGTTTTACTCTTATCCTCTATCTTCACTTCAAAGGCATCATAACTGAGCTTTCCATTATAAATCAGTTAGCATATGGCGTAGTCATATGAGTTTTAATAGTATCGTAAATTCTGCTGTAAACTATTAGTTTTTGGCATTAAATTATACCATTTAGACTCACCTAAAGATGACCTCAATCAACAATCCTTCATGTCTTGCTCAGTACTGAGACGTTAAATAACAGGAACAGAAATGTAGAGAATTCTACCATGTGAACACATATATCTCGTTGTATTCTTAGTAGTAATAGTAATAGTAGTAGTGGTAGTAATAATAATAATAATAATAATAATAGCTTTATTCCAGACGATATGTTTGACACAGCATGTAATATTTTCATAAATTTACCAGCAAAACAGTTCTTTCCAACAAAATGATTATGCTATCTGAATATTGTTCAAAATAAGGTTATAATATGAAACAGCCAGTTGGTTGACAGATTAGTACCTGGTCTATAGTCATGATGGTTCATTCAGCCAGTAAAAGAATGTACTATTCCAGATAAGTGTTCGAAAAAAAAAGAAATATCTTATATTTTCTTATGTTTAAAAGTTCATTTCCGGCCAGTATGGGGTGGCTCGATTCGAAACCAGCGAAAAAGTTATTCAGTGTCTACATGAGTCTGGTATGACTGACTGGTGAAATCTGTTGATCTATAGGAAGACATTTTGAGGAGTCTTCTGATAATGACGATAGTTATCCCTTGGTATTCTAACGGAAACGAAGTATTAGAGAAACACTGTTTGGTTATTACTTCAAAAAATGACTAATTTAGAACATTTTCAAAAATATATAAGAGTACCTGATACATTTTGAGGACATAGTTGAAAGATTAAAACAAACTGAAATGGAGGAATTTGATATAAAAGTGTCTAGAAGATTTGAATTTCCCCCATGACTTCGCTCTAATGCCGCACAAACTGGAAGATCAACACACAAAATCAGAAGAGGCGACTCGGAGAAGATACAACTTCAAGTGAATGTAGAGGAGACACAGGTGATGAACATACCAAACCAGCATCACCACCACCACCACCAACAACAACAACAAGCTCCAATCACCATGAACAGAAGAAACCTAAACGAAGAAGTCACTCTCACCTTCATCTACCCAGACAGCATCGTTTCAAATACAGGTGGTGGTACACGCACACATGAGGATGTCAAAGCAACCTGGATTGGAAAGACAGCAAGACAGGTGTTGATTAACCTGAAATCAGTGTGCAGATCTATTGTGCTGCACTCAGCATAAAGTGGGAACAACATCCGGATTCCCATCACCAATACCAGTCAAGTCAGTACTTCTATGTGATGGTTGAGTAACTTGTCGCGTTACGAAAAGCATTTCCAATAAACTACATATATTCATGAACAACTGCCACCTACGCTGGCTCCTTACTGAAGCTGACTGAGATGGCGATAATAATGAGAATAAGCAAGAAGGAACTGTGACTGGCTGTGTGGCAACGAACCAACGAAGTGAGAACCTATCACCCAACAAATATGCAGTGGAAGGAAGTGAAGATAGATTGGGTTTGATGGGTCATAGAGTGAGAAGACGGTTTGGGAACATCACGCGCCAGATCAGGCCAGTCAGTTGAGTGGAATCGAAAAGGGGAACGACAAGTTGGGCATCCGTGGTGGGGATGACATGGAGGAGATCATGTGAGGAAGAAATGAAAGGTTGTGGGCAGTCGTGGATCCATGTTTAAATGATTTCAGAGAAGAGAGTGCAATAGAGGCATGCCACTGAAGCCGTATGTTGCACTAGGAACCCAGGGAAGAAATAAAAATAATAATAACAATAATTTCAATTTTTATTCATCTTAGATTGACATTAGTTGGAGGAACAAAGGAAACCTGGGAGCATTGGACAGCCAGCTGTCTCGTCCTGGTATGAAACTCCTCAGCAGTGCGAACCCGTGACCTCCAGGTTCCGCGGCCAGAGCGTTACCTTTGAGCCACTGAGTCAGAACCAAATGCTCCATATTTCCAACTTCTGTTAGCTCACGATAATAATAATAATAATGATAATATCTGGTGGAAAATTTCATTAGTAGTTCAAGCAGGCAGCCAAAGGTATTAAAGGTCATAATTCATTAAGATAACAACGGTCAGACATACATCAATTTGTCTAGAGGTTGATGGACTTGATAAAGTGAGAAAATGTCTACTTGAACCACGCGATTTGTAAATTATTTGCAAATTGTTCATCGTGTTTACGGCATACCGTGTCATGCATATCAGTTAGCTACATTCGATTGGTGCAAACAACTCAGTTCTGTGAGTTGAATTCATTCTAGTATATCATTTATGGGGTGGCTCGATCCGAAACCAGCGAAAAAGTTATTCAGTGTCTACATGAGTCTGGTATGACTGACTGGTGAAATCTGTCGATCTGTAGGAAGACATTTTGAGGAGTCTTCTGATAATGACGATAGTTATCTCCTTGGTATTCTAACTGAAAGCGAAGTATTAGGGAAACAGTGTCTAGCGTAACTCATTAAAAACATCGTAGAAAAACTTGTTCTGTATAATTTGATACTTTCAACCTATTATTCCGGTGATATTTCTTAACTAAATCATTACTTACTACTAGCTTTATAATTCAGTAGTCAGCTTGTATTAACAAAAATGATGTTTTTTTTCGACTTTAGGGTTGTCGTGATCGGTTGATCAAACTATCAACACAAATACAAAATACATGGGCTAAACAAGAAGTTGTTTTACGAGTGATACGCTCTTGGGTTAAACCCCCACCAAATTATAAACCTCTTCCAACTGAAGATATTAGCAAAGAAGACACTGATGATGGTGATTCACTGCTACTTTATGAGAAGAACTTAAAACCAGAGAAAAACTCACATAATCATGAGCCTGTATTTGTAGAACGACCATCAACAGTTTTCTCTGGTCAAAGATCACTTCCATTTGGATCGATTAAATCAAAACCTTATCTTGATGCACCAATCATTGATATGACACCAGAAATGATAGAAGATCAATTTCCTCAGTCGAATTCAGATTCAATGAAAAAGATGAGAAGTCAATCGAATGGTTTAAAGTTTCTACATTATATTCCATCATCAACACAAAAAAATCGTTGGTATTCAACTAAAAATCATTTAAATTATTTACCATCTTATTCATCTTCAACAAAACAATCTCTTTCAGTATATCCGATACATAGTCAGCGTGTATATCAATCACCACCACCATCATCATCATCATCATCATCAGCAGCATCAGTAAATGTGTACAATTCTTATAAAGTATCATCATCCTTACCAGATACTTCATATAACACTATGATTAGACTACCAAGAAATGTTATCTCTAGACTGTCTAATATAACAGGCAATAATACACTACTCATCAATAATATAAGTAGTTCGAATAGTCTTAAAAGATATACACTTCATAAAATTGTTGAACGTTCAGTTAATACAATGTATGCACCAAATATAGATAGAAAAAATTATAATTATAATCCTAATAATAAACAAAAATATTTACAGAATACAATAATTATGAATGAATTACGTATGGAAGAATTTCATTATGCTGGTCGAGCTGTTGATATAGAATTGACAACACGACAATATAATCGACCGCATAATGTTAATTTACACTTAGGTGTATTAGCACAAATTGCCTATTATGTTGCACATTTTGATTGGTGTTTTTTTAATCGTGCTGGTCATGTACACTGTTCTGTAAAACCTGGTAAGTTGAATTATGTATATATATATATATATATATATATATATATATATATATATATATATATATATATATATATATATATATATATAATTGGTTAAATATCTTAATTAGTCCAATGGGAAGAAAACACTTTAAGAGTATACACTTATAATCCTTTCGGCAAAGAGCTTAGGATCTCTGAGCTTTTGTAGTGAATGTGATAATTATTCAGTTTCAATAGTTCTCAGTTTCCGATATAGTGTGACTATCCACCATCATTATTGATGTTTCAACATGGTTGACTACTTGAAGTCGTACGGTATTATTATTATTTGTCCTTTGGGTTCCTAATGGAACATAGGGCTTCAGTGGCACATCTCCATTCCAATCTATTCTCTGAAAACATTCGAACCTGGTTCCACGAAAGCCCAGAAGCTCTCATTTCATCCTCACACTATCTCCTCAATGTCACCCTCAGCTGGACGCACAACTCGTCGTTTCCCATCTGGGTTCCACTCGACTGACTGGCTTGGCCTCATGTATGATGTCCCCATTTGGCCTTCTCAGTGTATGCCCAATCCATCTCTACATCCCTCCAGTGCATATTTGTTGAGCGATAGGTTCTCACTTCGTTGGTTCGTTACCAGACAACCAGTCACAGTTCCTTCTTGCTTATTCTCATTATTATCGCCATCTCAGTCAGCTTCAGTATCGAGCAAGCGTAGGTGGCAGTTGTTCATGAATATATGTAATTTATTGGAAATGCTTCTCGTAATGCTACAAGTTTCTCAACCATCACATGGAAACACTGACTTGACTGATATTGGTGATGGGAATCCGGATAGTTGTTCCCACTTTATGCTGAGTGTAGCACAATAGATCTGCACACTGATTTCAGGTTAATCAACACCTGTCTTGCTGTCTTTCCAATCCAGACTGCTTTGATATCCTCATGTGTGTGTGTACCACCACCTGTAGTTGAAACGATGCTGTCTAGGTAGATGAAGGTGAGAGTGACTTCTTCGTTTAGGTTTCTTCTGTTCATGGTGATTGGAGCTTGTTGATGTTGTTGTTGTTGTTGGTGGTGGTGGTGATGCTGGTTTGGTATGTTTATCACCTATGTCTTCTCTACATTCACTTGAAGTTGTATCTTCTCTGACTCGTCTCTTCTGTTAACTTGTTGGATTTTGTGTGTTGGTCTTTGAGTTTGTGCGACATCAGACAGAAGTCATGGGGGAAATTCAAATCTTCTAGGATGCTTTCATTGGTCCAACGTATCTCCCTCTTCTCGTTCCTTACTTTTTGTTGCATGATCCAGTCCACCACAATCGCTTCCGCGATGATGATTTAACTTAAATAATGGGGGGTTGAAATAATAATATTATTATTATTATTCGTCCTTTGGGTTCCTACTTGAACGTACGACTTCAGTAACACGTCGCCTTTTCAATCTGACTCCACAACTTCACTCAAGCTCTCATTTCTTCCTCACACCATCTCCTCCATGTCCCCCTTGGCTTTGATGCCCAACTCGTCATTTCTTCTTTAGGTTCCACTCGATGGCCTGGAATGGCGCGTGATATCCCTAAATGGAAATAATAATAATCATGGTTGATAACGTAAAGGTTGAATGATAACAAAAAAGGGTTACGCAAGATTTTAAATCCTTTATGAGGTGTATATGGATTAAAAACTGGGTAAAAACGTGATAGTGTTAATAAACAATGAAAGAATCAGGTAATATGAATAATGAGGGAGTTACGGAGATTTGGAAATATTTCAAGTTGTTGTTCGTCGTGGGTTCGATTCCTGGTGGGGTCGTGCGTGCGCACTGCTGAGGAGTCCCATACTGGGATGAAACAGCTGTCCAGTGCTCCCTGGTTTCCTTTGTTCCTCCAACTGATGTCAGTCTACGATGAATAACAGTTTAATATGAATAAGACAACAGGTTAACTGGAATAAATTGAAAACGTTTTGTTTAAAGTTGCGATTATTAACAAGATCAAACGAAATAACACCGGAAAAGGGGGATGAGGTGAAAAACGAAAAAGGAACGAAGCATACCAAGACTAAAATAAATTAAGGCCAAGGTACAGAAAAAGATTTTACATACTTCTTTTTCCAGACTGTCTTCAGTTCGTGGATAGCCAAGGTCTGTACTGTTTTTAGACGTTGAAGACGGAAGAAATGTGAGGTAATCGAGTGAATTCGATAGACAACCTTAAAATCATTGCCTGGGTTGGTTGAATGGTTAGAATCAATTAAATGTTCAAGGATAGAACTTCTGATGGATTTCCTTTCACCCTTATAAAATCAGACTGGAATATATTCTCGTAAACGTGTTAATAGTAATCTATGACTACAGCCGACGTATCTTGCCCTACAATAAAACATTGGTCAGCATAGAAATTTAATGAAAACAAGGTATTATGATTTACTTTAGTTTGAAAATAAGAACAATCTGAATGAAGTATTCTCTCATCAGGATTTTAGAATTTCAAGTTGTTATTCATCGTAGATTGACATCAGTTGGAGGAATAAAGGAAATTTGGGTGCACTGACAGCCAACTGTTTCGTCCTAGTATGGGACTTCTCAACAGTGCGAACCCACGACCCCGTCCTTCAGGGCTCGAACCCACGACCTTCAGGTTCCGTGGCCAGCACGTTACCACTAAGCCCCTAGGTTGGAGTCCAATGGTCCACATTCCCAACTTCTGTTTTAGAATCATAGAATGTAACTGTACACTGTAAGAAACAGGTCAAGTTCGAGGTGAATACATTTTCAAGGTGAAATGAGTCTTAGGGATTGGAAGGAAATCAATTTTCCATGTTAAATTTTTCAATATTAAGATGACATATATCTACAAATGAAGACTGTGATAGTGATAGAAAAGATGAAAAATAAAGACAAATGTGCCCTTTTGTTTATTGAAGCCTAAGAGAGGAATCATACTTGAACATGTTCCCTCTGATCAATCTTATCATGACAACTTCAGCTGTACTGAACAGATGTTGACAAGTTACACGTGACATTGGTTTTTCAGTAGTTGTACAAAGAGACTAGTGTCGTCTATAGAAAGTTTTCCCATTCAAATTCTCCTACCCCATCTCTGTTAGAATAGGCTTAATTAAATGCCTAAGTGACAAGGCAAAACAGCTTACTAGTAGGCCAGAAAACCTACGAAAAGATGTTAGATACATCAAGAATACCTTGCGTTTCAATAATTATCTGCCTAAATTTATAAATAAATTCATAAGAAATCGAAGGAAAAATATTAGTAGTAGTAGTGGTACTGTGAGTAGTATTAGTGTTGGTAGTAGTAGTAGTAGTGTGAGTAGTAGTATTGGTAGTAGTATTAGTAGTAGTAGTGTTGGTAGTAGTAGTAGTAGTAGTAGTGTGAGTAGTAGTAGTAGTAGTAGTGGTAGTGTGGAGTTATAATAATAATAATAATGGTAATACTGGTGTTATCAATGATAATTCTACTATCATTGGTAACAATGGTGACAGAGTTGAGAGCGAATTCAAAGCCTCTGATGTGTTACCATTCAAGAAATGCACCTCAAAACCATTACGAAGAATTTTCAATAAGACTGCTGGGATTAAAAAAGGCTGACATTTTAACCAACAAACTCGCTTAGAAACAAGTTTCGTAGGTTGAAAGATTCTATCAATGCAATTAAACAAAATAATCCGGTTTACCAAATCCCTTGCAATGACTGCGAGGTCAAATACCTAGGTGAAAGTAATCGACCGAGGTCGATTACAATGACACAACGTATAAACTTAGCTAAATCAAGATTAGTAGATCCTAATAAGATAAGAAATTTAGAGAAAATCTCGGCTATAGCTCTGCGCGCAGTTACAAATTCACACAGTAGGGTAGAGAGATAGAGTATATAAACAAACTTAGTTGGGTGAAGAGTGGGAGAGATTGATGACTGAATCCTTGTTTATCGAATCAGCACCGAATACACGCAGTAGGAATGATTCTAGCCTTATCACAAGAAAGGAGAGAAAAGTAGAACTATTGTTAAACTTGTCTCAAATTTATGGAGTTACCCGATATGTATATGAACAATAATTTCTGTCCAAAACGTGATCAAATAGCTGATACTGTTTCTTCATTGCGTGACTGAAATAGAGCTGTCATCAACTCCTGAGCGTCTTATTTCAAAGTGTTTATAACTTATAACTTGGGGAAAAATATGTTATAAGGGCTGAATATTCATTATGTTATTGTTTGCTTTGTGGCTAGGGGTGAAATTTAGGACGCGTTTTTCGTCTTAGTTGGGACTTATCAACCGGGTGTACCTTTAGTCTCTCCCCACTCTAGACTTCAGCCGTATACCCATCCCTTCAAATTTGAATGAACAGTAATTAAGGTGTTCGGTGCTTAATGTAAAGACGTTTGTAACATCCCTAAAATTACTTTAATTTCTCCCAGCCTTGATTGATCAGCGTGTATAAATAAGTTAGTATGAAAACGGAATATGACAAAAATACACCAAGTAACAGTCAATGGCTTTATAGAGCAGTTATGAAATTTTGCTCCGGTTACCCTAAGCTTCTTTCCAACCCAACCCAATCCTACAGCATTCACCACTTTGCTTCTGGTTCAGGAAGTGGATCAGCATGTTTAACACATGATACAGTCATACAAGATACAATGAGTTAATAAGGTCATCGACCAATTGACCTTACTCACTGAAGGCCATACGCTTGACCTTGACACATCTCACTCCATATTTCCAGCATTTTATGAAAAAAAGCTTATGGTCCTCATGTAACTGATGTCACTGTGTCACAGTAAACAGAATGTGAGGAACGTGAATCTCACATTAATGTTATTGGCTGTAATATTTTACTTTGTTTTAAGCATCATTTAACCTATGACCTAACTGGTAACATTATTTTACAGTTCAATGGGTTCAATAGAATTTACTTGACCCCTTCCTTATCTTTTATGCATGAGTTGAATGTTGAGTGGGATAATTGAGAAATTCACTATTATGCATTTGTG